TACCAGAGCTCCCTTCCCTGATGTTAATGTTCTCTTTACAGGCCTGTCTATTGTTTGGCTGAAAGTTGAGCCACAGGGGTGACTTTAGTTCCAGGCCTGAGGCTAAGGACCATAGTCTCAGGGGGTTCCACCAATCTTTATCAGACCTATAAATCTGGTCTTTTTTATTTTGAGTTTTGTTCTACATTTTTCTCCCACTGTATCTAGGACCTCCTATTGTGATCCCTTTCAAAGCATCAACAGTGGTGGCTGGGCACCATCTAGTTTTTGGTCTCGGGGCATGGATGCTGGGCTTCACATGGTCCATTAGACCTTTGAACCAATTGTTTCCTTGCATCTTTGATTTTCTTCACTCTTCTTTGCTCTTGATGGGGAGAGACCAATAGTTGCACCTTAGATGGCCACTCACAAGCTTTTAAGACCCCAGTCACTGCTCACCAAAGTAGGATGTAAAACATTGTCTTATGTCACCTGTCCCTGGTGTCCCTCAAGACTATGGTCCTGAGCCCCCATGCCTAGCAACTTGTTCCCTCCAAGTGTTTGCTTATGGCTAAGATGTTTTCATTACTTTGTCCCCAGTATGCAATACTATATTCATGGATATTTTTGCAGCATATACTTACTTATATGTAAGTAGATATGTAGAAATATCCTCTGTCAAACATAAATATATTTGTGGTTATAGTCCCATTCACTTTCTCTTACTTGTTCAGCTTGTGTGTTATCTATATATCCACCCATAGATTATTGTTATTACTGCCATTGCAGGATTAGGGAAGGTCCTTACTTTTATAGAGCTTATTTGTGGAGGGAGGCAGGAAATAAGTAAATACATAAACAAAATAATTTATATCTTTAATGGCAATGGCAAGTGTGATATAGAGATAAAGTGGAATGATGTGGTAAGGGAGGGGTGCAATTTGAGAAAAGGTGATGTAGCAATGTCTAGAGAGATGTGGGTAGGGTATACTTGTTGAAGATTTGGACATCAGTCAGGGTTCAGTGAGAGTTGGGTGGTGGTGGAGAAATAGAGTAGAGGCAGAAGGCCATGGGTAATTTGCTGACAGAAGAGGGCCAGGTTTAGAGGCCTCTTGGAGATGACAGTAAGAATGTTAGAGGATGGATGACCCTTTAGGTTATGATGAACAGGTCAAACTACTGACGCCACATCTGCCCCTGGATGACCTCCAGGTGCTCAGACTCAATATTCCCACTCACAAACTTATTACCTTTCCCACACAAACTGCTGTTTCTCCCGACATTCTAGTCTTGAGAGCAGGAGTCACCACTCTAGGTCACAATAATTGGCAGCCTCAGTTATGACTAACTGTTCCTCTCCCCCTTCTCTGATATGGAAGACTGGACCAAAAACATCCTAAGAAGAGTGGAAATGTTCCCAAATCAACTTTCCCTGCTCTGCTGCTTCAGATCTTCATATCCTTTTTGCCCCTTGTTCTGGTTATCTAGTGCCGCTCTGACAAGAAATATACCACAAATGGGATGGCTTTAACAAACAGGAGTTATTCTTACAATTTGGAGGCTTTAAGGCCAAGTTCAAAGTGCCAGGCTCTAGGGACTGGGTAAAAGCCCCTCAACCTTGGGGTCCAGCTCTGCCCCCTGCTCCTGGCACACTGGAGCTGGAGGCATTTCTTCACTCAGACAGCTTCTGGCTGCTGAGGCTGACAAACCCAAAGTTGACAAATAAAAAGGCACAGTCCCAATGTTACTAAACCACATGGCAGGCCATTAATCTAAGTCCATTGTAAGTCCCAAGATCGGCCGAGCACGGCAGGCTGCTGAAAAACGACATGGCTACATGCAGGGTCCAAGCATGCCATAAGCTAGAGGCCATTCCCAAGGCTTCTCCTTATATACAGGAAGCAGACCAAATCCCAAAGGCAGCTACTCAGTTGCTTGTGGTAGATCTCACCATGGAGTTGATTGTCAGTCTCATTATGGGGAATAACTACCACCAGCTGCCCAGCCACTCATCCAAGCCCAGCCAAGTTGACACACAAACATAACCACGATAATTCCACCCCTTGTCCACTTGGCATCTGCACAGATCTTCGTTGGGTGAAATCTGTACAGATTTCTCTTATTGGGTGGCTCCAGTCCCCTAGTTCCTCTAAGTGGCAACCTCACCCCCTTGGCCTGGCAGGCCCCGTTCCTCTCTTCTTGGGCAGTGGCTATGGCTCCGACCCACTGACTTATATGAACAAGCAGCCCCACGCTCCAGAACCAAGTTGGTGAAGGCCTGGCTCTTTGAGACCTAGAGGGCTGTGGTCATTTCACCCCCAAAGCCCATGGTCTTACCCTTAAGGCTGAGGCAGCTCTGCTTCCATTTCCTTGGTCTCTCTGCTTCTGCCGATTAATGCCTGAGGGCAATCCATTCCACCAGAAATCTTCTTGCCCCATAGGACATTTAGCTTTCTTGCTCCGTGGGCCGGCCAACCTGCTACTCCATTTCAAGCTGGTCTCTTCACCAATTGATACCTGAAGGCAACCCACTCTGCCAGGAAGCCACCTAACCAAAGGCATCAAGCTTTTTCCTCCATGGGCTGCTAAGGCTGTTGCTGCCTCATGCCAGTTCTCTCGGCTCTGCTCCTGCTATCTCTCATGCCAGTCTCTTGCTCTGCTCCTGCCATCTGTCATCCATATGCCAGTGTCTCTCTGCCAGGGTCTCGGGTCAAGGGTGCACTTCACTCCTATTCTCACATTTTAGGCATCTGTCAGAGCAGCACCTCACTCCTGGTACCAAATTCTGTTCTGGTTACCAAGTGCCACTTTGATAAGAAATATACCACAAATGGTATGGCTTTAACAAACAGGAGTTTATTCTCACAATTTGGAGGCTTTAAGGCCAAAGTTCAAAGTGCCAAGCTCTAGGGGCTGGGTGAAAGCCCCTCAACTTTGGGGTCCAGCTCTGCCTCCTGCTCCCGGCCCACTGGATTAGAGGCATTTCTTCACTCAGACAGCTGCTGGCTGCTGAGGCTGACAAACCCAAAGTTGACAAATAAAAAGGCACAGTCCCAATGTTACCAAACCACATGGCAGGCCATTAATTTAAGCCCATTGTAAGTCCCAAGGTTGGCAGGGCATGGCAGGCTGCTGAAAAATGGCATGGCTACATGCAGGGTCCAAGTATGCCATAAGCTAGAGACCATTCCCAAGGCTTCTCCTTATATACAGGACGCAGACCACATCCCAAAGGCAGCTACTTAGCTGCTTGTGGTAGATCCCACCATGGAGTTGATTGCCAGTCTCATTATGGGGAATAACTATCACTAGCTGCCCAGCCATTCAACCAGGCCCAGCCAAGTTTACACACAAACATAACCACCACACTCCTCCACCTAAGGAAATCTTACCCTATAGCCTGAGGGATAGGGGCCTTGTCTGGGCAGTTCCATGTAAGGGTAAGAGCTAGGTGGGAGGAGGTTGGGTTGTGCCCATCTGGGGCCCCACATGTAAGTTATCACCCCAGTAGCACACCTGACAAATAAGCAGGTGTTTCTCTAAAGGCAGCAGCTGATCTTCTACACAGGCCCCTTGACGCTCGTGATGGACTGGCTGCCCAGTTTGCCTTCCCATGTAGTGCTACTGCTTCTGGTCCTGTTGGGTGCTGCCCTGCTGGTGGCTACCCTGCTCTTCTGCCAACATTGTCCAGCAAGAAGCAAGATCCCCAGGGCACAGAGGCGAAGGGAAGTAGCTCTGCAGAAGATGGCGGCCCTGGCACAGCGTCTCCGGCAGCAGGTAAACAGGCATTGGTCCCTGAGGCCCCAGCTCCAGGGAAGTTGGCCTTCAATCCCAATAGAGGGACCAGACTTTATGACAAGAACCGTCCCATTGCCCTGTCCCCCTTCAGAAGAAGACAAGGAGCCTAGTGTCTAGTCCCCATCATCCCCCAGCTCTTCCTGCACTGTCTCTTTGGGTCACTGTCAGTTTCTTCTCTAGCTCTTGAGGTCAGAGACATTATATATTCTCTCTGTTCTCTCAGTACCTAGTACATGGCTCAGTAACATGATGAGTGCTTACATAGGGTGTTTGTTGAGACAAACTGATGGAGACAATTGGAAGCAAGAGGCCAGTCCTCTCGGCCCTTGAGCTGCCCCACTGAGACAGGAACTGTAGTCTACACATTGGCTCTTCTGTCCCCAACCCCATTCATTTCTGTGAATGTTCTGAGCACCTGATAGGTGCAAGGCATGGGGGTTACTGGAGACAAAGCCCTCCTGTGAAGCTGTGTCTTAAAAGGGGGCTTTGGCAACTTGGATGAGGTATTTTGAGGCATTGAGACAGCTGGGCTGGGCTGGGATTAGCAGAAGAGCTGAGCCATGATGGGCAGCAAAGCCTGCCTAGGGTGGCAGAGAGAAACACAAGAAGGAGAGGCATGGAGACAACCTTAGACTGTGGAGCCTGGAGGATATATGACAGCTTTTCTCTGGCCCATGGACTCTCCAACTGCCCAAGGAGGGCTGGGCTCACAGTATCTTAGGGTCCCCAGCTTTGGTGCACCCAGGAGGGGGTACGCAGGATGGACCCCTCTGGGTGGGGGTAGGGATATGCCTGAGGGGCTGTCCCCATGCTCTGGAGTTCCTGAGTGTCCTCTGCCGTCCCTTGGACTGTGATTGATGGCCCCAATGGGCAGCTTCTCTGCCCAAGCTGCTGCAGTTGCTGAGAATGTGTATTAATATTAATTGGGGCTAATTAGTTGCATAAATCAATCCACCCTCAGAGAGCAGCTACCCCTCCCTGGTTGATGTGGTTGATGAGGAGGAAGTCTGGGCTAATGGGATTGTTATGGAGAATCAACATGATGAAGAGAAGTCCTGTGTGTGTGTGAGCCTCCAATCTGTGTGCGGCAGTGGGTTTAGCTTCTTTTACTGCAAACATGGGGACCTGCTTAAGTGTGCCTCCTGCTGGTGTTTTATTGGGTTCTGGTTGAGTGTGTGTCTGATTGTGTGTTGCTTGTGTTTGTTTACATGCCTGTGATGTTTATGCCCACGACTGGTTTCTTGTTGGGAATATGTATGTGTTGTTACTGACTGAAGTGTATACATTTAGATGAACGTGTCTGAACGTTTGGTTGGGGTCTTATCTGTCTCTGTGTGGTTGTGTTTCTGATGTGTGAATACATCTAGTTGCATGTGTATCTGGGCATCTGGTATGGTATATGTGTGGTTGTCTTCTGGGGTATGTGGCTGTCTGGCACATATCTGGGTATGTACATGTCTGGTTGGGTAGAGGAGTGTAAGGGGCTTGAGGTGAGGTCAACCATGGGTCTCCAGTCTACTCTTATGGCTTCAGGCTTCTTATATCTTTGAACCTTCTTCCTTCTCTGACAGAGCTATATAGATCTGTCCTGGGCATCTTCCCCATCGGGCCATTTCTCTTCCAGAAAAGCCCTTAAAGCTTCAGGTGTTCACAGGGCAGGTAGGAGTCTGAGACACGGGTTCTCCAAGAACCCTTGCAGAGTTCAGTCAAGCAAATTCAATTCAATTCAGTTCAGCAAAATTTCAGAGGGCTCCTCTGTGTCTTACCTTGAACTGGACCCTAGAGAAATAAAGATGAATCTAACATCTCACCCAGACTTGCCTAAAGGTGCTACCAATCTGAGGGGGATATGGTAGAAACATTGCTGTGTAAACCATGATGGAAGGCAGCTTAGCTGGGTGTGGGGAAGGCCAAATGCCCATAAGAGCTGCAGGATGCGACAGGAGGGGGTGATTTGTTCTGTCTGGGAAAAAAGGATGTGGGGATGGCTTCCCAGAAGAGGTAGGTATTTGAGGCGGGCCTTACAAGATGTGTAAGAGTTCTCCAGAAGGAGGAAGGAACAAGAAAGGCAGTACTGGGAAAGACAAGCCTGAAATATGGCAATGCATCTGAGAATATGGATGATAATATCGGCAGCGCCCATGGGGTCAATGGAGAAGCCACACATGGCTGGAAATTGCTGACCAGGAGGCTCTGGTCACCTTGGGTTGCAGATATTTAAAATATTTAACAAACACTTTGGAAATACTAAAAATAATAAATCAATTTATTAAAAACTTTAAAATATCTTTTGTTTCATTCTCAAACCATGAGGAGAGGCAGCGTTAGCTAAGTTTGGAGAAGACAAGATGTCTGTGGGACTTGGCAGGACAGGGTGATTTGTTCTAAACAAAACTAAATACTAAAACTACTTAAAAGTGTTATAAGTTAAAAAAAAAATGATGTAAGTTGAAGTGCAATTCTTCCACCAAATTATTTTACTAATTTCCAAATAATTTTTAGAATTTGTTGTGGGGATCTTTTGATATGACTATCACTGTTGGAGGGAGCTCTGGTAGCATAGTGCCTAAGGCACTTGACTGCTAACCAGAAAGCTGGCGGTTCAAACTCACCAGCCACTCCTCGGAAGGAAGATTGGGCAATCTACTTCTGTAATACTGACTGCCTCGGAGGGGTCGCTATGAGTTGGGTCCAACTCGACGGCACATAACAACAACAACAACATCACTGTTGGAAGGATGTGCCTGTCTTTGAAAGCTCTCCCAGTAAATGAAGAGTCATTAGGTGACTTGCAGTCTCATTAAATACAGACTTTCTCTTAGCATTAATGATATTGTTTCTTGGGCTGAGTCCTTTTTCAGCTTTTGCTGAACCAATAACAATTACACTAAAAATTCCCTAACTCTTCCAATACTATCTGAGATCTTATATAGTCAAGAATCTCTGTTGTCAATTAAGTCATGAAAATTATTATTAGAATGTCAGGCTAAATTACACTTATCTAACCCTTCAGTCTGTGGGAGAACTTGAGTAAAATGGCAGGTTAAAATGTGGCCCATACAGCTGGGCTGCCTGGTTACAATTCAGACTCTGACACTTAAGTTTGAAATAACCTCCCTCTGCCTTCACGTCCTCATTTCTTTTATGGGCTGATGGTTATATATAACACTCAGGTAAGTTAATAAATGTTCACAGTGGCATCTGGCACCCAGCAGGTACTCTATGTCACTGTATACAATGATTCTTCTCATTGTACTAACAAAGTTAACAGTGTTGTCCATGATGAACGTGCATTTGGTGAGCTTCAATGAATTTGTTCTTTAGGTGGAAGTGACGCTCAACAGGGTTGGTGAAAGAGCCTTGCTGGAGCCTTGAAAACCACTATCCTTCTGTCACTGGAGAGCCCACTAGGCTGGCCAAGGGGCAATCCCAGCAGACACCTACAGTGCCCCGCCCTCTTCCTTACCACTTTCTGACCTGTCCTCCCCTGTCTCAGCTCCCTGGGAGCAAAAATCCCCACAAGTGGCCATACAGAGACACTGTAGGGGAGCCCCAGCCACAGGAGTTAGGTGAACCCTGGGAATTTGCCTACAGCGTTGACATTAACGGTGTCATCTCTGCTGCTGAGATTTTCTCTGGCTAGGTAGATATGCAGGAACGGGGGCTGGCATAGAGCAGTCCCAGCAGTCTTGATGGTGTGCCGTGAATGGGCAAGTGCTAGGGTGGTACCTGGCAGTGCCTACTAGAGCTCCTTAGGGTTGAGAAGAACAGGATGTGGGAGGAGCAGAGGCTTGACAAGGGAGAGGATAGTCCCTGAGGCTCCTGCTGTGCTGGGCATTTACTCAATGGACTGTGAGGAGAGAGAGGGTGGTGTTTCAAGGGAGGGGCTAAGGCAGCAGAAATGGGGAGGGACTCAAGGAGGTGGCCTTTTACTAAATTTCTCAGAAGTATTTCAATATTTTAGCCACTGGTGCAGCCACAGAGGTGCATCCTCACCCAATGCCAGTCCTGTCCTAGGGGGTCTATCTCTGGGCCCACCTGAAAGTTCTTGGGCCTGCAAGCTGGGCAGCAAGTGGTGAGATGGTGTTGTAAGTAGAGGGGTTGGGGGTTGGGCAGAGTCCCTGGCATTCAGGAAGTACTTCATCAAAAAAATTCCATTCCTGAACCCACATGTGTGTCTTCCTGCCAAGCAAAAGACAGGCATATGAGTTGAACTTTTACCTGAGGTAAATACATTCCTTGGAGAGAATAATCATGGGAGAAAGAAGGGCTGTTTATGCAGAGGGAGACAGCTCAGGGAGCAGGGGTGCGTGAAGGGATGGACAGAGGGAAGAGGTGACTGTTGGGAGGAAGTGGGAGGGGAGCTGTTGCATTGTGGTGAATTGTGGTCAATGTCATAGGACAAAGTGTGTGTGAACTGCGGTATGGAAGGTGAATTTGCTCTGTAGATTTTCACCCAAATCACAATAACAAAGAAACAAACAAATAAATAAATAAATATTCCATTCCTCAAGAAGGTAGTGGCTGGCAGTTCAAACCCACCAGCTACTCCTCGGAAGGAAGGTTGGGCAATCTACTTCTGTAGTGATACCACCTTGGAAACCCAAGGAGGGATCACTATGAATCACTTCCAACTCAACAGCATACAACAACAAGAGGGTAGTGGTTAATATATAGATTTAAAACAACAACAACAAAAAAATCACTTGGCATCAAGTTGATTCTCACTCAGGGTTGCCCCATGTGTGTCAGACTAGAATTGTGTTCTGTAGGGCTTTCAATGGCTAATTTTTCCAAAATAGATCACCAGGACTTTCTTCTGAGCTATCTCCTGGTGGACTCAAATCTCCAGTCCCTTGGTTAGTAGTGAGTGTGTTAACCATTTTCACTTGGGTTTAAGCCCAGGCTGCCACATCTTTGTGATCTTAGACAAGAGAGTTAACCTCTATATGCCTTTGTTGCCTTTATTGTGGAATGGA